GTTTTTGTGTCCTAAATGATGGCAAGAATTAGAGAAATGTTGTATGGTATAATTAAGAAATTTCTATGTTTTGCCATGATTTTTGCCATACTGGTCCAATGGCAACAATAAACTTTTTTAGTATTAGCAAATTATGTGTTGCGAAAAAGATTTGGACTTGTGAGAAGGCAGAAATTTGCCATGTCAATAAACGTGATAGTAAATAGAGTCAATTACACCGGTGGTGCTAGAACTTGGCGTAAACGGTCACTTTAGTGCTAGAACTTGTAGCATACATTGAGGTGGTGCAAAAACTTGGCTCGGACGTGCAAATATGGTGCTAATCATTTTTGTATACGTCCGCAACACTAACGAGGCCTGCCAGCATGGCTTAGGACCCGTTGTTCGTGACCAAAAAATGAAGACAAGGCGTGTGGTTTTTTTTTCCTTTTTCCTAGAAACCCCCTTGTCTTTTATATTTTTTTCAGCAAAAAGACCCCGAGAGGCGGGTCTCAGCTGTCAGCAGCAAAAATAATAATTGAACAGAAAAAAGGTGCGCTTAGGTTTCAAACCAGTGACCTCCAATTAACGTGTCCGCTGCGAACCACCTAACAAAAATCATGCTCGTTGTCTGAAGAGGATACACAACCTTATATTCTTTAATATTTTTAGGTGAATATTCTTTAATTAAACAACACAAATTTGCAAAGGTTTGTTACTCTTTACGTTTTTTAGACAATGCTACAATTTACGTCTATAACAGAACGTGCACATGGGCCAAAACTGACAACAGTTTGTCAGTTAGTGTGACCTATTTTTAATATGTTACTATTTTATTTTTATTTTTTGCAGTTTGTAATAAAAATTAATTATGAAACTACATGAGCATTTACTTAACGTTATTTATTTTATTTATATGTGTATTATTTAAAAATATAATTCCATTTTTTAATAAAATTTTGGAAAAAAACAACATTTTGAATTTTTTTTAAAAAGCTAACGATACGCTCAGGGTTCGAGTCTCTGCGGCTGCATCTTTTTTACTATATTTTCTTCTTTTTTCTTATTCAACTGAGGATATATAGCTTGTGTTTCCTTTTTTTGGCAAAAATATAGCCTGTGTTTCCTTAATGTACATGAACGGTGAACGGGTTGGATGGCTAACTTCACGAGCAGGGAACTTGAGGTTGCTCTGGTTGGAAACCTGAGCATACCTTTAATTTCATTCAATTAAAATTTGTGCTGCAGATAGTTGGGCCCCGCTTGTCAGCAACTTTTCTATGAAAATAATAAAAGGTTTCCATGCAAAAAAGCATGCCGCACGCCTTGTCTTCATTGTTGGGTCACTGACAAACGGGCCCACGCCACGCTAGCATGCCTTGCCAGCGTCGTGAACATATACAAACGCGATTAGCACCGTATTTGCACGTCCAAGCCAAGTTTTTACACCACTTCGATGCATTCCACAAGTTGTAGCACTAAAGTGACCGTTTGCGTCAAGTTCTAGCACCACCGGAGTAATTGACTCTAGTAAATATATATATAAATACTATGATATCTTCAATAAATTTGCCATGGGCACAAAACAAAAAAGTAGTCATTTTTGTAAATTTGCCATGTTGCATACGTACTACTTGCCATGATGCTCTAGAACAAATCATGGCAAATATGTGTAGAAATTACCATGACACTACTTGCCATGATGTTGAGAAAAACGGAGCATGGAAATTGTGTAAATTTTACCATGATACATGCACATACCGTGCTATCATTTTCTAAAGGAACACATCGTGGCAACTATGTGTAAAAAAAAGTTCCATGATAACTTTTAGCAAACGACACCTTTGTGTTATCATATATGAACAACCGTGAAAACATGGTACATGCAAAATTTAGAAATTTTGAAGTCTACATGGAAGGTTTAGAAAAGTTTGTTCTAGTCGCATGCAAATTTTAGGGAAATTGTAATAGTTAGAAGGCAAATTTAAAGAATTTTTTTTCATATAGATGTAAAATTGACGCGCAACAAATAAGAAAAGTGGCAGCAAAAGTAATTTAAAAAATCATGGCAACTTTTGAAAAAACAATTATTCTCTAAATAATGAAAACTGTAGAAAACAATATAATAGTTACATGGCTAATTTAGGAATTGTGTTCTGTGAAACAATGGGAACTTTAAAAAAAGAGTTTTTATCATGTATGTCACTGATTACGTCTAACTACTCAGTTTTGTCACTAAGAATTTTAACTGCTCAAAGGTGCCCTCAATTCTTTTTCATTTCTTAAGATGTGCACAGTTATTGCACATCTAAGTGATTCAACGTAAAAAGAAAAGAAAAAAATGTCACACGAATCTATACTTGAGATCAATGATATTGGACTTAGATGTGCCAAATGTGCTTTTGCAAAACTGTAAACTAATATCAGAAACGGAGCTGCTAAATTACAACACAGACAAAGAGAGATGGGTGGGGGCGTCCCTATGTTGTGCCCGGAGGAGGCCGCGACGAGCTCTTCCCCCTCGACACGGCGGCGCTCAGGACAAGCCTCACCTCTCCTGCCGAGGTTCAGATGCTCAATTATTGTTCACTGCTATGCCCATTGCCCATCAGTACAAGCTCTGTTGTTTCTGAATGCATACAAACCAGTTCAATTCAGATAAGAACCCAGACGACAAATCCTCAGTTGATCCACCACATTCTCAGTTACAACAGGTAGCATCGATCTGAATAGGGGAAATCCAACTGAAACCTACTGGAGTAGATCGACGGAGTGCGGTGAAAAATCCGGCTGGTCAGGAGCAGATGGGGCAGAGCACGAGGCCGTTCTCGTTGCACTCTCGGCAGCGGAGCACCACGCCCCTCTCCGGGCGCCCTTTCACCGCGGCGCCGGAGCCGGACAGCACCTTGCGGCTGCCGGAGCAGTCGAAGCAGGGGAGGAACCTCATGCCGCCGCAGCCGTCGCAACAGCCGTGGGAGAGCGCGCGGGGGAGGCCCTCCAGCAGCGGCGCCAGCGCGCCCTCCTCGTCCAGCCGCAGCACCTCCTCCGCGCCGCCCACGTGGCGCCCCCGCACGAACAGCCGCGGCAGCGCCGCCGGGGCGCCCGGGAGGAGCAGCGCGCGGAGCTCGTCCCGGAAGCCGCGGTCCATGGAGACGTCGCGCTCGCGGAAGGCGACTCCGTGGGACTGCAGGGCCGCGCGCGCCGCGTTGCAGGCCTCGAAGGTGGCGCGCACGGCGCGGAGCGTGGTGGTGTAGAGCACGGCGCAGCGTGCGCCGCCGGGCGGGCAGCGCTGCGGCGGAGGGGGCACGCGCGCCGCGGCGTTGCCGTCGATGGCGCGGAGAGGGAAGCGGATGGGGCGGGGCGGGCGGTCGCCGGCGTCCCTGCGGGCGGGGCCGCGCGGGGACCTCGATTTGGCCGGGGTGGAGGGGTCGTGCAGGCCGGCCATGAGCTCCCACGAGTTGATGACCTCCGCCTCCGGCTGCTCGTCGGAGGGCGGCTTGGGCTTGGCCCTGCAGGAGGGGAGCGAGAGCGGAGGGGCGGGCGGAGGCGGCGGCGGTGGAGGGGGTGCGGACTTGGTGGATGGGGAGGCGTCCTGGGCGGCGAGGTTGTAGGTGAGGATGCCGTAGGTGGAGGAGGTGAGGGAGACGATGTGGGATGCGGAGGCGGATACCCCGATGATCCGCCGCTCGTCGTCCTCGGTGAACGTCGACGACACGCACCCCATCAATCTATCTGTTGTGGATGGACTCGGCTCGACTTCTCTCTTCTGCTCCGGCCTGCTCTGCGGGCTGCGGCGCGGTGGTGGAACCCTGGAAGGAGGGGAGGGGAGGGGAGGAAGGGAAGGGAATGGGGGGAAGAGGATTCAAATTTTCAATTCGAAGAGAGACAGACTGCCGCCCGCCCCGCTCCGCTCGAGGACAAGTGATAATAAAGGACGGCAAGAAATGAAGCGTGGGCCAAGTACAGAAGGTGTTGCTGAGGATAAATGCTTGTCGATGGGGAACACACTTCAAATCAAAACTACTCAGCGCGACTTTGACCTAAGGGCCTCCGTTTGCTGGAATCGTTGCTCGCTTGTATCAAAATCGAATGAGATTTTGTCAAGGTAGGCCGGTTCTTTTGGGTTTAGAGCATGTCCAGCCGCGCCCCAACAAGGCCCCCCAGGCGACTTTTTGGTCGCCGGTGTCAAAAAATCGGCCCAGTCGCGCCCCCATGGATCCATTTTTCGCCGGCTCGGGTCGAAATTGGCGCCGGCGGACAAACCCGAACCTGGCGCGCTGGGGGGCGCTCGGGAGCGTCGGGCGAATATTTTTTGTCGCGAAAGCGTCGTGGGCCAGCCGCGTCAGCGACTCGACTCTCTTCTCGCCGCTTCGTCGTCCTCATCGCCTCGTTTCCCACGGCGAATCAATGCCAAAGCTGCGCGCGCTGCCGCGCCGGTCAGCCTCCATTGAAGCCTCACGGGCGGCGTAGTGAAGTCCGGGCGACGCGCGTCCCCTCGCCCGCCACGCCTCCCGCCACGCGTAACGCGCCGACCAAGCCTACCGCGCGACGCCTCCGCCTATATAAAGCCGAGAACCAGCGCGCCGGAGATACGCACACACACTACATCGCCGACGCGCCCACTTCTCCCCCTTCCTCCTCTCTCGCGCCGTCTCCAGCTCAGAAGGATGGTCGAGCGCTTCCCAGGCGACGGCGCGGCGGCGAATGGTTTCGGGCACCGCCATCTGCACGAGGACGAGGCTCGCCTCCTCTTCGAGGCCGAGTACCCGGCCCCGCCGGACATGCGGGTGCCCAGGGCGTGGAGGATCAGCGCCGGCGGCGTGCCGGTGCCACCACCACCCACCGGGGCGGCGCGGCGTGCGGAGATTGCACGCATCCGCGCGTCCTTGCCGCGGGCAGCGAGGGAAGGCCCACGGTACACCCCCGACAGCCCGCTCTGGGAGCCCTATTTCCGCCGCTGACACGCCGAGCAGCTCGAGGCGACGAACGGCGTCGTGCCCTCCGGCAGGCTCAACTTTGAGGGCCGGTGCCGATGGTGGGGCATACCCGGCCGCACGTTGGAGGTCATCCTCGAGTACATCGAGGGCGGCAACATGCCGCGCCTCGAGTACCCCACTCCCCCGACCTTCTCACGCCGCCGTGGGAGCTCCTGGACGCCGAGGCGTATGGAGCGGTCCGGCGCGTCCTACTCCTCGTACGGCCGCTCGTCGGGCTCTCCCTGCCTCCGCCCTGTCAAGCCGGAGCCCCAGGACACGTCGGTCAGCGCGCGCACCCGCAGCTCCGGCGTCCGCATCGGCGACTCCACCCTCCCATCCGGCCGCTTCGTCCTCGTCGAGCCCAAGCCGGAGCCCAGCCTTCCCGCGGAGTATGAGGAGATAGCCCGGCGCGGCTTCTCCGACGAGGACGCCAATAAGTGGGCGCGGGACGACTACCTCCGTGACGAGATGGTCTGGCAGCACCGGGCCATGGAGGAGATCGAAGCCCGCAAGCGTGGGCGCGCAGACAAGCACGACATCGTCATTCTCGACAGCGACGACGACGAGGACGCCCCCGGACCGTCTAACCCGCCGCGCCAACCGGGGGAGGGATGCAGCAGGGACGGCGGCAGCCACTAAACGCGGTTCTACAGCCTCCTCGGCATGTAGAACTGCGAGGGCGGGCGGCGGGGAGCGGCGAGGCAGACGGCGAGGAGCGGCGATGGAGACGGCGAGTGGCGGCCCCTAGTAGTTTTTTTTGTAAAATATGTTTAAGTTTGAACGAACTCGCCAAAGTTCGCAATGAATTTGCGCCGCGTTTGTGTCGTGTTTAAATTTTTCAAAATAACCTGGGCGCCGCGATTGGGGGGCATCACGCCCCCAGCGCGCGGGTTAGCGCTGGTGCGTCCCCAGGGGCGATTTTTAGCCCCTCCTGGGGGGCCAACGGCTGGAGATGCTCTTAGAGCATATACTGCCGGGCTCCAGGCGGTCGTCACGGTGGTCGACGGGGTGGCCTTCCTGGAGATGATTGAGGCCGAGCTCAACCACCTCTACCGATGCTAGTGGGACTGGATGGTCACCCCCACCACTGGCCACATCTTCACCGTTGTCTTCCTTGACTCCATCAGCTACGGTTACGCCACCCGCAGTGGCCAGATCACCCTCGCCCTCAACCAGCTCGTCATCGACATCTTTGAGCCGATCCTTGACGCCCAGGCCGTGGCCGTCCTGGACACCGCCTGGATTCTCGTGGCCGGCCTCCCTGACATTGCCCGGTCTGAGCTCGTCATCCGCGAGATGTCTCGGATTCTTGGCAAGGTGGTGGTCGTTGACGAGCTCTCTCTCCTCAAGGAGGAGGAGGTCCGGGTCAAGATCAAGTGCCTCGACTCTTCCAAGCTCCGTGCAACCATCCGAGTGTTCTTCAACGACTAGGGCTTCGACCTCAGGATCTCCCCCGTGCCGCCCAACCACATCGTCCGCTCCCGCTCTTTTGACGTTGGCCTTCCTGGCGGCAACGCGGGGGCCGTCGGGGACTACCACAGTCGTTAGCGAGCTCGCTCCCACCGGTCAGACGAGGACGAGGGTTTGGAGGACTCACATTCCCACTCCCCGTCCCCCTCCCCCCTCCTCCTGCCGCTGGCGGGCAGGGTCGGCAGGCCGCTCTCGACCCGCTTCTCGACCGCCCATCGGACTCGATGGCTACGTCATCCGAGGCAAGCGACATCTCCAATGTCAGCCTGGTCGTCTACCCGGCCTCCTCCCCGTGCTCTCCTGCTCCGCTCGCTCCTGTCGCGCTGGCCCTGGAGTCGGGTCTCCCCCCGGCATCGACTCCGGATTCTGCCCCGCTCCAGTCGGCCCCGGTGCCGGGCCTCGAGGAGACCGTGTCGTCCGAGTTGGTCTCGTCTCCTCCGGCTCCTCCCGCTGCGGCCGTGCTGCCCTCCCCGGCCATGCTCCCCCCTCCGGTGCCGCCTCGGGAGGCCCCGACCTTGCTTGTCGCCGCCCCTGTTCCGCCCCTATTGTGCTCGTCTCTGACCTCGACCCCGACCCCGGTGCTCCTCGTCTGCGTCGGGCCTACCTCTCGGGCTCCACCTGCGTCGGACCTCACTGCGGATGGGGAGGCCCGGGTGACCACCCCGTTGGCCGCCCTGCCTCTCCCTCTGCGCTCCTCCGCCTGCGCTCGCCGCGGGCGATCTGCCTCCTCCCCAGTGACCGCGTCCCGCCGGAGCGCTCGGCTGGACGCTGCTCACCCCGAGGGCAATCCGGCTCTGCTTGTCCCCGCACGGGCGGAGCTCCGCGCTGCTGCTCGGAACCTGGAGCCAGGTACGCCTGCAGTCCCTCCCCTCTGCTTCGTCTTGTTCCTTCTCTGCTCTCGAGTCAGTTCCCCTCGGCAACCTCGCGAAGGTCGCTTTGGACTCTGCCATCATCTTTAGGAGGGGAGCTGGCCCCCCCTTAGTCCAGATCAAGGCCACTAGGGCCCGCGAGATTCTGGATGGGAGGCTTGCGGAGGCTCGTGCTGCCTTCCTTTTGCCCCCATCCCCCCCGCGGCCGGGAAGATCCCCTCCCCGGCGCCGTCGAGGCGGACCGGTGGCCTTCTCCCGCTTGATGGGGCGGATGTTCGCGGACGCACCTGCTCCCGCACCGCGGCCCTCCGTACCCAAAGTGCCTCCCGTGTCTTGGGGTCAAGCAGCCCCCCAATGGCGCCTTAATGCAAGCCCTCTTCTGGAACATCCGCTGTTTCGGCCATGATGGCCGACGCCGCCAGCTAGTGGAGTACATGCGTGATGAACACATTGACATTGTCGCCATCCAGGAAACTATGCGCTCTGAATTCTCCATCCCTGAGCTTGACCGTCTGAGCTCCCACCTCTTTGTGTGGCATTGGCTCCCTTCTAGTGGGAGCACCGGCCACTCGGGGGGCATCCTTTTGGGTGTTAAGGATGCCACCTTTGAGGTGGGCAGAATGGATCGGGAGGAATTCTTTGTGAGCATGGAACTGTTCGAGCGAGCCCTCAACTTCAAATGGGAGGCCATCATAGTCTACGGGCCGGCTGACCATAGCAGGTCTGCCGCCTTCCTCGAGGAGCTCCACCGGAAGATTTATGCAGCCTCCCTCCCGGTGGTGGTAGGAGGTGATTTTAACCTCCTTTGTGTTGTGGAGGACAAGAGCAATGCTAATGTGAACTTTGCCCAGATGCAAATGTTCAATGACTTTATTGCCGATCTCGGCCTCCGCGAGATTGACAGGATTGGTGCCAGGTTCACCTGGACCAATCGGCAGGCTTCCCCGACCCAGTCCGTCCTGGACAGGGTCCTAGTTTCCCTGGATTGGGACCTCCATTGTCCCCTCGCTTCCCTTCGCGCCATCACCCGGATTGGATCTGACCATGTCCCGCTCCTTCTTTCCTTTGCCGATGAGCGCCCGCCGATCACCCCGAGATTCCGGTTTGAGACCTTCTGGCTTTCCCAAACCGGGTTCGTGGAGGCCGTCGGCACACGATGGGTGGAGGCCCGCGCTCACCCTCACCCCCGTCCCCCCTCGGCCATTGATTCATGGCACTTCTGCGCCAAGCGTGGTCGACAGTTCATGAAGGGATGGGGCGCGAACTTGGGGCGTGACCTCCGCGAGCGTAAGAAGGCCCTGTTAGCCGCCATTTAGGCGCTCGACTTGTGTGCAGATGCGGTGGGGCTATCTCCCGATGAGTGGCTTTCCCGCTATGACTTGGAAGATCAGCTCTCCGTTATGTACATG